AAAGATGGACTGTTTCAGCCAACAAACCCTCCTACCTCATGGCCACTACTTATTCAGTTGTATCAGAAATGCTGTGTGCTCCTTGGAGATCAAGACTTCCTTTACAATTTAGAATTTTTAAGGGGCTGTAAAATCTGTCTTGAATTTCTGCTCCATGAAGGGGTGCTTGTGGGTGCATAAAGATGAAGAAGAATGGCTTGTCCATGATGCTTGGAACTGATGAGAGCTGGAGTCCAACATAACTGGAGGGCACCCAAGCTGAGCCAACTCCTGAGCTCCAGATGTTTAACAGCTGGCAGGCAGAAGGCCAAAACTCCTGTGATAACCTATCAAAGAGTGACATCTAGTGGGTGGTAAGAGGGTGGCATTAGATTCTGTTGAAGCATGGGGAAGGACAAAAAACCCACATGCACATGTGAGGGTTTAATGACGGTATTGCTATAACAGAGAACATTCAATAGAGTGATAGGGAGCGGGGAGAAGATTTAGTATGGGCAGTGATTACATTTATACACAAAACAAACTTTGGTAATGCATCCCAGGCTTGCATGGATTCCCAGCTCCTAACTTTTATTGGAGCACATTGTTGTGGCTCACAGAGAGGAAAGACGTGCTCTGAACTTGTGCAGTAGAATTGTTTATTTGTCTAGAGTCTTTCTTAATCTTAGTTTCTCTAAACCGAGAGAGAGGGCAGTACTGTTGTGGTGGTATGTTTAAAAGAAGAAAGGCCATAGATAGACATCAATCCATAACAGGATGCTGAGTCACCTAACCTGACCCACACATCTTGGTTCACATCCCATGTGAAATTGTGGATTACATAACTATGACTTATTGAATAGGCCACCATTGCCTGGGTTTGCATAACATGCTAAGGCAAAACCAAACAAGCTCTTTATGTTCTTCGTCCCCAAAATCCATACTCAGATGTTGCTTGTTTGGGTTGCTTGGTTAGAGATCTTAGCTATACTCAGGAGTCGACAATTCCTTGGGGAACTAACAGGAGTAAAAACAGTTATGGACTGGGTTTGCAATGGGTGAACCAGGCCAGTTGTCTAGAGGGAACCAGCCTGTCCAAAGGAAAAAAAAGGCATTCCAAAGCTCAGCTGAGGACTAACACAGGATAGGAAAATGGGGAAAGTAAAAAAAGAAAAATAAAATAGGCTGGCAGATGGATATCAGGCACTTATGGATAAAGGCTGTGGTTTATGATCACCCCTTCCTGGCTTACTCTGTAAAAGGGGTAGGGGTGGGGAATGATACTTCTAACAGAATGATTTGCAGCATCAGAGCATCTAATGATAATGCACAGACCCTGCTTGTTTGACCAACACCCCAGCACAGAGCTCTACCTCTAATCTCCTGGCTCTCCAGAGGCAGAACTAATCTTTAGATTTAATACTTTAATCCCACTCTTGGCCCTGCAAGCCTCTCCCCCTTCCCCAACAAGTTTGCATCAATGCCAGCAGGCACCTCAATGAGTGAGATGAAGCTGCAGGGTGAGGAACTTGATCTGTAGCATAAGCAACTCCCAGATCTGGATTTTCAGCTTTGTCACCAGAGAACCTGGATTTGGTTCACTGTCTTGATCCAAAGCAGCACATTCCCCCCCAACCCACCAAAGGTGTGCGTCTTCAGCCTTATCACACAGCTTAGTTGTCTGTGCATAGGCCATGCATTTCCCATGGACCTGCAGGATGGTGCAGAGGATTCTGGGAAACCTCCCAAATGAATTTGGTAATTGTTCAGAGTCTTGACCTACCGGTTACTCCAATTTCTGTGCATTCCTTCTTCTGTTTCTCAAAGTTTGGAAATGGATTTACCATTTAAAATTTGATCCAGCGCTAATGTAAAATACAAAGACTGTGAGCTGTTGTCCAAAGCATTGAAATGGATGTCTCCTGTCTACATTTGAAGTCAAAACATATTGTCCTTTTGGTTTGATTTAGTCATTTTAGCCTCACCCACTTCCTTTCACTAATTCGTGTTTTTGGCTTGTATACTGAGCAAGTAGCAACACCTAGCCTGGGATCAAAAGCGAAGCAGGACTGGGTTCTGGTTTGTATTTGGATGGGATAAACAGCAGAAACCCCAAGAGCTGCAGGCCAGACTAGGAAGTCAGCAACCATCCTGAAAGAAGGTGAGGGCAATTCATCTGTGAATTTTTTTGCAGGAGAATTCATCTCACAGCCTGGAACTTTTTTCTTTTCTTTTCAAACACACCAACTGTGGCCTATTTTACACTTGAATAATCTATTACTGGACAGTTCTTTTTCTCATATAACTTTAACCAAGAGAATGAGCATCTGTGATTTTTCAATCAGTGCAAGGTCTCTGCATGGTTGCTTCCTTGGCCCAGCAGCTCCCTTATTCTGCAGCTCAGCAGGAGGAGAGGAAGCAGAGTGTAAAATGAACACATTGAACATTTCTGCACTAGCAATTTATAGCATTGCCCAGCCAACTTTGTGGCACTACAAGGCTTGCCTTCATTAGTGATATATTTGCACAGCGAAAGCTGGAAGACATTATACATGATTAGTGTGGAAATGCTCATTAAAAAACAAACAACCATAAATATATGCAGCCCTAGCTTCAGTCCTCTGAAGCTTCCAGGGCCCTGAGCAAAATTTAAACACTCATGTTAATTTTGCAGTGCCCCAAGTGCAACAACACAGCAGGGTGCATTGTGGGCAAGGGGAGATGTATATCTTGATTTTTTTGACCACACTTTGCAGACATCCCTGGGCATAGTGTGGTCATGCCAGTCTGTTCAAAAATGGGACAGAATATCTATCCATCATCTATCTATCTATCTATCTATCTATCTATCTATCTATCTATCTATCTATCTATCTATCTATCTATCTATCTA